TTTTGAACCACCCTGTTCATATACCGGTTTAAATCCTAGATATAACTCTATGTGATTACCACGGAAGGCTACTTTTTCATTTAATCACACGTACCATTTAGTACTAATGTTCTAGTTCATTTTTCTTTCTTGTTCCCTATAACCAATTGCAATTGTACCTAATTACCAGTTTTCCTCTAATATCTGTCATCTCGTTTAACAAATGTAGCAACGTTAGCTCAGAACAAAATTTTATAATGCCCATGCAAAGACTGAAAAAAGCGATAAAACATTTATTTTTAGATAAGCATATGTTGCATAAACTCCACGTTAGAGGCTCCGTCAAAATCCATACTGAAGTCTACTAACATTGACTCTGTTTTGAGTATCCTTTTTGTGAGCACCAGATAATGCGCTTAAAAATAGATCATGTCTTCCACAATTCTACATTTGCCGAGGCAGCAACAAACACCCCCCCCCCCCACCACCACCACCACCACCAACCGAAATAAAACCTCTGACTTATATTTTCATATTAGTAAAATGGGGCAAAAAATTATAAACTACAATGCTAAAGTTCATAAATGTATTCTCATATTGCCGAAGAATGCAGAAAAAAGGCAAGATCGGAGATTTAAAAACAATTCGGGAGATGCCCCCTCCCCTTCCCGTTTCATATCACCCCGCCCCGTTTCCTGAAAGCTACAATCCCGGCCAAAATGGTTGGGACACTTGGAAATAACCTTACCCACGGTCACCCACTCCCCAGTCAATGTTGTTCTCTCCAGCTGATGGAGCACATACCGCGCAATGAGAGACACCATTGAGCGGGGGCCGGGGGGTTGGGGGCCCAACGAGATTTGGACAGGATGGTAGATCCAACAGGTTACTCACACAAATAGTATACAAAATAATATTGAATGCTTCGAGCGGTGTAGTAAAACTAGTCTCCCGAGGTGATCCATGGAGCATCCATGTATCACGTGTTTTAGCGTCATGCAGTTGTACAGCAGCCGCCACATAATAAATGGCGGCCGCTGTACAACAAAATATTTTCACACGTACAAAAAAATATATATTCAGACTTATTGAGTGGCACTATCCGTCTTCCGTACCAAGGTATTTGAGACACACATCAAATAAAAGCTTATTTCATCATCTTTCATTTTCCGTTCATTTTTTGTGGGGTTATCCAATGACTTTCGGGAGAAAATTCCATCCAGAGATGATCACCTCTAAAAGCAGTCCTGAAGCTCATCGTCATTTTGAAAACGGACGCCTTATTTCATCTGGTACACCTTGGGCAACATACATATCACAACAAAATGGTTTGATGTACGTGGGTTTTGGTTAAATATCCACATTTCCGAGCCGCATATTCGTTCCACCATGCATTACCTGTGAGTGTTACTTCTTGCCTCCGGTAATCCTATGCGCATAAGTGTATTATTTAGTTCTATAATTTACCAGCAATCCGCGCTAGCTGTGGAGTCTTACACTAATGTTTACTTTGACCTCAATTTGCATGTTGACCCCAAGTGGGCGTGGTAACCTTGGTAAAGCAATTTTGCCATATTGTTCAGCATCAACTTTTTTTGAGGGGGGGGTAATCGCGTGAGTGTTTTCATAGAGATAATGTTGTAATATTTTACCATTCAAAGTTTTAAACAAACAAATTTGCCACAAAAGCAAAGCAAAACGAATAACTCATTTGTTCAAGTGCCAACCGTGACGGTAGGTATCCTTTACCGCTGCGTCTGAGCAAACTCCGCGAAAAGCAAAATCCCGCGTGATTAACGGCCGAATTCTGCCCAAAAAAAATGAATGACACAATTTTGTTAAAACCCTTGCCGCTCCGCCGTTTTTTTGCGCCTCAAAACACAGCACGGCCTATACCAGCTGTCCACATACGGCATTCCACGGCATGACCACAGCATTCGATTCCGGAGTGCAGCTATAACCGTCAGCGCAGCCGGCGTGAAGGGGTTTTAAAGACCCGCCCTGATGTACGTCTAACGTTGCTAAACAACTATATATTGTCGCGTTTTTATTTATCTGTCAGTTTCTCCCTCGTTCTCTAGATTAGCAAGAATGAAGGTTTACATGTGCCTGGTTCTCCTGGTGTTCGTTGGATGTACCTGGAGATTCGCACTGATGGACGGTAAGTTAATTCGTCGAAAGTTCCGCCATATTCTTAAATCCACATTCTCACAGCCCCATGGGCCTATCTTTTATGTCATGCTTGAAGTAGTTATATTATTATAATTCGATTTGATACTCTACTTTACATTAACATGAATATTGTTAGCATCGTAAGAGAAACAACGCCCGCAGTCAACTATTCTCAAATACCTCTGCTTAATTTCTGATCTTGTTCCATCTTATTTGAATTTAGAAAAATAAAACTTAGGTTACATATTAAAACGGTCAATTGCTTACACACCGTCTTTAAAGGGGTATTACGGCCTGAAATCCCCGAAGATGTTATGTGTTGGATTGTTTATTTCATCCTATTTCAAAGGTCTGGTTGAAAGGTAACTAACTTTAATGTCTTAACCGTTCCCGAGAAAAGACGACAATCCCGTTTTTTTACTTCTCACGTCGCGGACATTTTGAGGCATACGTATATGTATTTCCAGCCGTGTTCATCCAATGTACGGTACACACTTGTGTGTGTGTGACACATAATACAGACATCACCAATACACAAATGTTGTTTCTTGCAAGTCCACAGAATGCGATACACTGGGTATACATTTGCGGCAGGAGTCACGACTAGCACAAAACAGCTCGATTTCGCATGGTTCTCGCAAGAAAAACACAAAACGCCCAGTGTTTAATTAAAGGATGGTTATGTGGACGTTTATATATATCCTACTTTTTAAATATTCTTTCCTGTTAACATCATTTCGTTTAAAACGCGTTTTGTTGCCCAATAGGGCGCATTCCAGGACGAAATGTCCCTTTAAAGGGGGCCGTTTTATGCACACCAGAAATAACAACATGATGGTCACTTTTGGCTATTGTGGAATTTGTTCCCAAAACGTAAGGAATTGGCATATTCCGTCGCTTATTTAGTAAAAATGATTTTGTCCGGTCTATTTTCAAATTCTCAAGACAGTGACGAAGGTTGATCCTTACAACCAATATCTTTTATTTCAACCTATTATTAATTCAATATTATATGAGGATTATCAGTTTTCGTTGTTGAGGCATCCCTTTTCATTTCTTTGGTTCTCACTTCCGACCGACCCTATTTTGGGCTCCAGACCCAAGAATTAAAAACCCTTTTCATTACCGCCGATCGACCCTGTTTGGAACCCCCACTAAAAAAAAAATGAACAAAGGGGGAAAATACAAAATTCAGGTAATCAGGCTCTGTGTTATTTGAAAAGCTATGGAAAAAGCAATTCAATGCGACAGATTTGAATGCGAGGTGCGGCGTACAGCATTCAGTGCAACTCCCAGAAGATGTGAGGGTATTGCCTCTCATACTGCTGGGGGTCTCTTTCACAGGGGCATGGTATAACATGGCTACCACTAGCTACAGCCAAAAATCTTTTGAGCTGCATGGTGCAGATAATAATCAACTGCATCCTGCCAAAGCTGCTTTTATCATTTTGTTCAGTCCCGTCGACACATAATAAAATCATTGCAATGAATAAATCTAGATAACAGTACGCACTTGGCTTCATTTAATTTAGCCATCTTAACGGATGCAGCTGCAATTTTGTTGCTTCTCCAGACCGACCCTACTTTAGGGACAAACAAATATGAGAATCATAAAACGAAAAACTTGACGCCCTTATCTTTAAGTGCACGTCATGAATTCAGCAGTAAAAAGCTACTTTTATGTCTTGCAGAGTATCCTCCTGAGGAGTTGGGGAAAGAACGGAAACCTCGCGAGATGGTTGAGCGGAGTATACGTTCAGTGGTATTAAGCATATTTGTTTTATACTAATATGACACAGATCGACGCTTTGACAACGGGGTGATTATGTCAAGCTTGGGAACTATTCCAAAGACGTGTTTCAGTTGAATGCTGTCCCGTTGAATGCTGTACATTTTTTGGTGGCACATTTCAATAATATTTTGTTCATTTTCTTACAGAGCATTCGCATTCATTCAGTTTTGCCAATTCTGTATTGAGTTTCGATTTTGTGCACACAATACTTTGCTAAGTTATTCTGTTTCTTTATAATGCATTCAAGACGACATTTTCATCCATAGGTTGCATTTCTACAACCAATTTTCAATCAAATTGCCTACAATCGTGTAATTTTTGCAATTTTTCTACTTCGTTTATTGGCAATCAATTATAAATTCAAGGGTTCTAAAACGTAGGGAAGCGATTTAATCTTCATGAGGACAATAATAAATGTATCAACCTTTCAATTCAATGCAATGCAATGCAATTCAAACTCACATTTATTTCCATACCAAATGAAAAAGATAAGCAGAGAATACATGAATAAGTAAACGGAATTGTCGAAAAGATGTAATTAAGAAACGAAAATATAGGTATGGAGGAATCTTCTAGAAGCCTAGGCTTGTTGTGAGTTGCCTTGGACGGACTAACACAGAACAGAAACAAGTACATAGGCCTACGGACAGTTGGACAGAGACAGAACTTAAGCATGGAAACTCACAGATTAACTAGAATTAAAGTACATATTGAACGAGAAAAACATTTCCGAAAAAAAGCCAAAATGAGAAGTAAACTGTGTCAGTTACTGGGAGATGAGAGCTCCTTTATAGGCGTGTTTCAAATATGTTTCCAAATGAAACTGTTTGAAAGGGACGGGCGTTGAGTTAAATCTATCCAAGATCATTATTATGAAAAACGATACCTGAAGATCGGAGCAATTATGTTTTCTATGTGACATTTCAGAACAAAAAAAAATCCGGTCTTATAATGTGGTAACTTGTCCTCAGTGAGCATAAAATTGTATCATTCAGCGGGTTTAAATCCACAAAAGTATGTCCGATGCTCACTCACATCCATGTTGGTTTCTGTTTTAGGCAGGCGGACGTCAATGCTCAAATCATCGCGATTGTTTCCTAAAAAATCCATATTCCGGTGGCTGTTTTGGCGGCCTATGCAGAGGCGGCCGTCCGTTCAAATGATCCCCGGAAATGACCATGGTAAGCACAATTCATCATTATCGATTTGGCGACCGTTCCCCAACGTTTCTCAGTTAGGTCTAGTGTTGGAAAACCTCTTTCCTTACGATTTTAAATGCATACGTCCCCTGAAACGTCTCCATCGTTAGTCCTTGAAGAAATCATGGTATTTTTGTTATTGTCCCCATACAGATCGACAGTGGTCAACCGACAGCAAGGCTACCCTTATGTTTAAATAACAAGATTTGGCGTTAATTTATTATGTGTTCCTCTCCCCCGATAAGATTGTCTCAGTTTTTAAATTGATGCCGTGACAATGCTAGTCACTCCTGAAGGCTGATCAAGATTGTGAATTTTAAGAATGATATTGAAATCAAAATTAATCTCAAACAAATGCAATGGATCCGTGAATACCGACATATTAATTCTTCACGCGACGCATAAAAATCCTGAAGATAAATTCTTCTTGTCATGTAAATGACACGAATTATATAGCTCGAGCACGGGCTTAATGTTATCTCCACTTCGTTATGGCTAGCAAATCTGCTTTCAAGATTGTTCCTGTCCTAATATTTTAGTTATTCCCGGTTTCTTTTTTATCCTCGGTGCGTGGTTTTCACTATCGCCGATGAAGGGCAAAATCCATTGTTACAATATCAATTAATATCCTTCATGCATTTATCGTATGAGCAGCGCTGGGATATGGAAACGTTTGCATCCGAGGATTATTATTTATTTTTGGGAAGGGCGAAAAACAAGACCCAGAGAAACATGAGAAGGTTCCTTGCCAAAATAATATGCACACTTGTTTATTGTGATTTCAAATCAAAAGGTCATTGAAGTTTACCCACCAAAATTGGACTTTTTGGTTGGAAAATGCCTGTTCAGAAATCCGGGATATAATGCATCTTGGGTCGATTGTTATATTTGCATTCCAGTAACGGCAACGTTACAATACCATCATATTATAGATATATGCTATACGCCCCGACTATCACATTGTCCCAACTATAGTTGGGGCCAATGCCGTAGTCGGGCGTAACAGCTGCAATGATTCTACAATATAGTGTCTCTTGTGAGTATGTTTACTGTGATTTATTTTTCTCGCCGAAGACTCAGGCTGATTGTATACTATTCCTAAAATGATAATTGCTCTATCAATTACAAACACTTTAGTTGTGTAAAATACTCGGCCATTTTTGTACATCTTTGTTACAAAAGCTCAGATAAGCTGTTCCTGAATCTTACAAGATTCGTATTTACTGTAAAAGAAGATCCCATTCTTTGACAAAATGACCTTGAAATCATTCGTTATTAATTGAACCTAGGCTATTTCTTATTCCTTTTCATCCTTCGATGCTTCCTCTTTCGTAAACTTACTGTGAATGATATAGCTATGTATGTAGCAAAATAAAGGGAGTCTTGCAAAATAATTTATCAGTGACAATGAATAATTCATTCAAACCGTCTGTCTCTGTACGAGTCATCCATGTTCTTTGGTTGTATTTTCAAACCCTTGCCTCATAACACTTGCATCCTTGAAAAGGTATAACTACAAGAGAGGTCGTGAAGATAACAGGGATGCCCTTTGGTATATACCGGGTGACCCCCCAAAAAATGCAACCCTAAATCATTTGCCTTTAAAAAAAAAAGGGATCGGTGGATTTTTATGTTTTTGGTATCAGATTAAAGCTGAGAGCTTTTTCTTTCAGATACTAAAAATAACAGCGTTGCTGTTGAAACCCCTCAGCCAGTCAAGTTATCATCCGGAAACCATTAACTCAACATGGTGACCTTGACCTTTGGCCTTTGACCCCAGAACCAGTCCCAACATGCCTGTACCAATGGGAAACCACCTACTGAAGATAGACCCCATAATTTCATGTCTAACTGAAGTTATCATTCGGAACCATTTACATTTAACTCACCAAGGTGACCTTGACCTTTGACCTTTTGACCCCAAAACCAATCCCAACTTGCCTGTACCCAAGGGCAACCCCCTACCTAAGTCAAACACCAAAATCTCATTTCTAACACAAGTTATCATCCGGAAACCATTTACATTTAACTCACCACGGTGACCTTGACCTTTGACCTTTTGACCCCAAAACCAATCCCAACTTGCCTACTCCCAAGGGCAACCCTCTACCAAAGTTAGACACCAAAATCTCATTTCTAACTCAAGTTATCATCCGTAAACCATTTACATTTAACTCACCACGGTGACCTTGACCTTTGACCTTTTGACCCCAAAACCAATCCCAACTTGCCTGTACCCAAGGGCAACCCCCTACCTTAGTCAAACACCAAAATCTCATTTATAACACAAGTTATCATCCGGAAACCATTTACATTTAACTCACCACGGTGACCTTGACCTTTGACCTTTTGACCCCAAAACCAATCCCAACTTGCCTACTCCCAAGGGCAACCCTCTACCAAAGTTAGACACCAAAATCTCATTTCTAACTCAAGTTATCATCCGGAAACCATTTACATTTAACTCACCATGGTGACCTTGACCTTTGACCTTTTGACCCCAAAACCAATCACAACTTGCCTACTCCCAAGGGCAACCCTTTACCAAAGTTAGACATCAAAATCTCATTTCTAACTCAAGTTATCATCCGGAAACCATTTAGCTTTAACTCACCACGGTGACCTTGGCCTTTGACCTTTTGACCTTAAAACCAATCCCAACTTGCCTACTTCTAAGGGCAACCCCCTACCGAAGTTACAACCCCAAACGACATTTCTAACTCAAGTTATCATCCGGAAACTAAGCTACCCGGACGGACGGACGTTCTAGCCAGACGGACTTGTGGGGTGATAGCATTGTGTTCCCATTATCCCTTTTTCTAAAGATTCCCTTCTGGGGTGATGTTTTTCCATTGTGTAAAAAGTGGGGTGATGTGTTCTGAAAGGAACATCACCCCACAAGGGTGGTCTGGTCAGAACGGACAGACATACGGACGGACGGACGCCCTAGGCGATGACAATACCCCTCGAGCCTCTCGGCTGAGGGGTAAAAAATGTCAATTATGTAAAAGTAGCCATTTTTCATCCTGTACACACAATAATATTACCACAGGAAGGGATTTTCACTGTACCTATTTGTGCATACATGTATCCTAATCCTTACAAACAACACCGCACATAATATGACAAGAGTACAAATGAGTTAGATGGAAGAACTCTTATTTTCCACCTGTACAGGTATCTCATCCTTTTTAGTCCTATTTTAAACCCTTTCAGCATCATAAATATGTCAAAATACTAAGGAAAGTGCACAAAATAGTGAAGGATAATTGCACAGTATATGCTTACAGTAAAATGTTTCACTGTTTGAAGGTTTTGTGTAACAAGATGAAATATGACTACTTTTACATAATTGACATTAATATTTCTCAGCAACCCAAAGTGCTATTTTCATGATTTGGCAGTAATTGAAAGAAAAGGCTCTCAGCCTTAATCTGATACCCAAAACATTAAAATCCACGATCCCTTTTGTTTATAAAGGCAAATGTTTTAGGGTTGCATTTGGGTGGGTTTTTTTTTGGGGGGGGGGGGTTCATACATGACTTGTAGTCTGCGTGGAGGCCAGTGCACTATTTTCTTTTTATCATGACCCCCGCCTATAGTAAAGACGTGCGTCTGATTTTAAGGATGCATACCTGCAAATAAACTCCCATAGACACTAGTGCTAAATGCCCATACTTCAAAATTCTTTTAAAAATACTCAAAACTCTCACAGGTATTCAAGCTGCACAGAAAAATGATAATCAACATGTCATCTTTCGTTTTCTTTTCAATTTTTGGTGGGTTGACCATTGACTTTTCGAGATATTTTCACCCAAAGAAGACGACCCCTATTTTCCCCAAAGCGGAAAAGTAGCCATCTTGAAAAACGATCCCTCCACAACATGGCAAAATAGCGCCACTTTCGAGCCCAATAGCATCCAAAATGCTCAGAATTGGAAGCCCCAAGTCCGGGCCAGAGGTTCGTTACCATATCTCTTCAATTCCCCAATTTTACGGCGCTCAGAACTCTCTAATATAGAATATTTTGAGGGTATAACTTTTATTCATGAGCTTGGCGGATCGATTTACCGGTGTGCACCCTTAAGGATGTGTGCGCCTTTGCCGTCATTATACAGGGTGGTTCAAAATAAAGGAAACTATCCACTTTTGACGGCAATTTTCACCTGCAGTCAACTTTTTTTTCAATTGCTTCTTAACATTATCACATAGTAGTAAAGTATAGCCCTTTAAACATGCATGGTGAAAAGCAGCTTAGTAAAAGTCGCAAGAATAGTGATATTATGCTAATTTGAATACAAATCACCAAAATCAGTCTGGTCCACGTGTTATTCTATGTAAATTGCCCATTCTTGTAGCCGATAGCTGAGCTCAGTCAAGCGGATGGAATTTATACCTCCGTGGACAAACAGGTTTCGCACATGAAATGTTCAAACTATACCATAGTTCTGAGACAAAATATGCAGTTGCAACGATTTTCGTCACTTAGGCATGCTTAAAGGCCAGTACGAATCAAAAGTTTAAAATAATTTTTAAAAATAGGCGAAAGATGCTGTCAAAAGTGGATTTCCTTTATTTTGAACCACCCTGTTCATATACCGATTTAAATCCTAGATTTATCGCTATGTGATTACCACGTAAGGCTACTTTTTCATTTAATCACACGTACCATTCAGTACTAATGTTCTAGTTCATTTTTCTTTCTTGTTCCCTATAACCGATTGCAATTATTGTACCTAATTACCAGTTTTCCTCTAATATCTGTCATCTCATATAACAATGTAGCAACGTTAGCTCAGAACAAAATTTTATTACGCCCATGCAAAGACTGAAAAAGCAATAAAACATTTATTTTTAGATAAGCATATGTTGCATAAACTCCAAGGACGTTAGAGGCTCCGTCAAAATCCATACTGAAGTCTACTAACATTGACTCTATGTTGAGTAGGCTATCCTTTTTGTGAGCACCAGATAATGCGCTTAAAAATAGATCATGTCTTCCACAATTTGCCGAGGCAGCAACAAACACCCCCCCCCCCCCCCACCACCACCACCACCACCACCACCACCACCACCACCACCACCAAAACCCAAAATAAAACCTCTGACTTATATTTTTATATTAGTATAATGGGGCCAAAAATTATAAACTACAATGCTAAAGTTCATATATGTATTCTCATATTGCCGAAGAATGCAGAAAAAAGCAAGACAGTAGATATAAAGACAATTCGGGAGATCCCCCCCCCCCTCCCGGTTCATATCACCCCGCCCCGTTTCCTGAAAGCTACAATCCCGGCCAAAATGGATGGGACACTTGGAAATAACCTTACCCACGGTCACCCACTCCCCCAGTCAATGTTGTTCTCTCCAGCTGATGGAGCACATACCGCGCAATGAGAGACAACATTGAGCGGGGGCCGGGGGGTTGGGGGCCCAGCGAGATTTGGCCATGATGGTAGATCCAACATAGGCTACCCACACAAATAGAGGGTCACTCGCATACATTTGGTTTCTTTTTCAATCACTCCTCGCTGGAATGATGACGATTGCAGGAATGATGACCGGGTGGAGATATGTGTTGGAGCAATGCCCGGATCTATGGGCGAATGCATAGGGCTATTCCAAGGCTAATTATCGGTCCAAAACCCCAAAATTAATGACAATCAACTGTAATGAATTAAATCAAAGTATAAGCCCATCATTATTTATTTCTCGAACATTTTATAAAGTACAGGTCTGGTGGTGGAAAAACCTCTTTCTTCACCAGGTTTAAATTCATACATAAAGGTTGAGCAATTTAAGTGGCTAACCGTCTTGTCACCTGAATCATCTCCATCGTTAATAGTGCAAGATATCATGGTATTCCTTCAGTCTTGTATTATCTCCATACGGAATTACATTGGTTTACCAACAATAAGGCTTTTAATCTGATTCAATTAAAATGGTTAGATTTGGCGGATCTACGGGGTCAGGCATTCTAACGCCCCCTCCCCTGGCCGAAAAAAAGCCGGGAAAAAAATCATGAAACAAATTACATAGTATACAAATCATGAATGTTTATGAGTGCAATGGTTAGAATATTTTCATGAGTTGAAAGACTGAATGTTCCATTCAACGAGGCGAAATGAAACATTCAATCTTTCAACAAATGAAGATATTCTCACCATTTGCACGAATGCAAAAAAAAAGCATTTATTGTTTGATATAACATCCAAGTAGATCTTTGTCATTCGATTGGAGATAAAACTTTAACTCACAAACTTGTATCATATCCACTACTTTTTTCAGCATGTTCAAGGCTAACAACGGTTTACACGTCAAATCATAAATGCGTAGCCGTGCCATGGTTCGATTAATGAATGCCGCGTGACCTACAATCCTCCAATCAAAATAATGACAAGGATTTACTTGGGTGTTATATAAAAGAAGGATATTGAAATCGAAATGAAAGCGAAAACCTACAATCGATCCGTGTAGAGTGATATTTTCAACAAACTGCACATTTATATTCTTCACATAATATAGTAACCGTCGGGATTTTTTTCAGATTTTTAAAAAAACTTTTCCAGAGAAATTAGCAAACCGGTCAGTCACTCTGCAACATCCCACGATTTAAGGATGTTTAACATGTGACGTCATAATGGCCATCAATTTTTCTGTTTAAGAGAGAAATCAGCAAACCGGTCAGTCACTTTGAAGAAATATCCCACGATTAAAGGATGTTTGAAATGTGACGTCATAATGAGCAGCAACTTTTCTCTTTGAAGTATGGACATTTTATAATTGAATACGGTTACATTATTCAAAGTGTTGCTAAGACACATCATTGGTGTTTGTCGTTGGATTATAAATAGTGCAATAAATAACGTTCAAGAATCGGCAAGAGAAACGGTGCACTGGTTATAGTTCCATAACATATCAACAATAATGTGGATTTTGCCTTTAGTGTGCCAACAAATAAATCCTAGTTGTAATCAACGTGTTTCGACTGAATTCCGACGTGCATTTTAACTAACTAATGTTGTCACAGCTTTGCCTACGAACCTTTTATTGACAAAGGGTCGAGGGTCGGCTGCTCAAACTACACTTTAGGCCAAATTAAAAAAAAAAACATGTTTAGCGCCCCGCCCGCTTCCTTTTTGGAGGCCGCCTCCTTGTTTGTTTGTTTGTTTGTTTGTTTGTTTGTTTGTTTGTTTGTTTGTTTGGGGGTTTTTTTGGAAAAAAAAAACACCGAAAAAATGATAAATTTTAAACAGTGACATCATTTTTTTTCTCTTTGTCTGTTGCATCTAGCCCATATAAAGCTGGTATGTCATTTCCTGAGTCCAAGTGGCGGCCATTTAAAAAAAGCCTGGCGGTCATCTTGAAAAATAGCCGGCCTCCTCCTTCTTTTTTTCAACAAGACAGGACGCTAAATATGTTTTTTTTCTTATTTGGCCTTAGCATATCCTGATTTTCTTTTCATACAAGGCCATGCATTTCTTTTTTACTAATGCTTCCGAATTTGACATTTCGTCAACACAGACTAGGTAATGCTAAACATTAAAAAATTATTGAATATCATTTGAGGTTTGAAATTAATTTGTCGTTTCTCTCAAACCTATGATCCCTGTGATAACATGGAGTAAATCGTTGAATGGCTTTCGTCTACATCCTGCGTTTGTTTACGATTCCAGTTCGTTAAAATTTCGTAGGTAAAACTACACTCCAATTCCCGCCCATAAATCCTGTCGTATACACAGATAAGTTAATGACGATCTGTGAACACGACGATTTCATCAACACTCGTTTCATCCGATATCCCGGCTTCATCATAAGACAACCAAAGACAGCATGCGTTAGGCCTACATCTCACTCGCTGTGATCTGAAATGGTTTGTAGAATTTCAGTTTTTACCCGTTCGTAAACGGGTATTGTCGCCAGATGGTGTCTCTCTACTCAGGATGTTATGTCTGTCGGTCCTTCGATGTGAACGCATACATCCCGCAGAATCATGTCCTCATCCTCGGTTTGCGTCGACTTTGAGGAGTACTCGACATCCACGCCTCGCTTGCCGATGTTCCGTTGACGGCCCATTTCAGAATCGCTCGTCATCCGCAACTTCACGTCTCCATTTTGGCCGGTGTCGTCAAAGCTTGCCACTGCAGCAGCATGTTCCAGCGTGTGGCTCAATACATCACTCCCACACGGGCCGCAGATTCCTGACCAGTCTTCGCTTGCCATCTTTCCACCGCCATTGATCCCATTTTCCATCTCCAAGGGCGCGAGTTCGTAACTTGGCGGTGGCTCATCATCCGCATTGTCAGGGCTCTGTTGGCTTCCTTTAGTTTCATCCCCTCTGCCTCTCCGTTTCTTTTGGCAGTAGCAGCAGACCACACAAACGCCTATGGCAATGCCTATTCCCATCTCAAACTCTGGACTGATGCTTTCAAACTTGTGTTTTCGTTGCAACGTTTCGTTTTGTAGCCTATGTTATCGGTCATACGTGCTCTTCTCTGTTACCTGACTTGCAATCATGTGTCATGTGCTTTCATGTGTAATGCAAATGCCTTATATAGTCGTTTAATATATTGCATGACTTCCTAGGAGTGGTCAGTTTGAGCCTGAGAGGTCAATGTCCAAACTTCGGTGTTTCATATCAAAATAATCGCCATCCCACTCACCATGGGTTGTTCTGTGTTTACATTAACGGCTTCACGTCATGTAAGCATGACATTAATAATATTAGCATTATGATAATAACAACGTTGCACCAAAAATGTTTGAAATGAACTGTTAGCCTCTCAATAGACATAGTGACGTCACGCTTTATTTACATGTGCGCTTTCCTATGGGAGCAGGGTGGGGACGGCAGCCAACCGTCCCCAGCTGGCTCCCATAGGAAAAAGCACATAAACAAAGCGTGGTCTATTATATGCCGAATGTCTATCCAGCGCCGTTTTGGTGACGGTACGTGTACGTGTGTGTACCGAGTTTGTTCCCTCAGTTATAAAGCCACTTAGCCAAGAGGGTTTTGGGGGGACGTGCGTGTTCTGAGATTCTAACAGTAAGGCCAAAAAAAAATTCGGTCTCTGGTCAGACCAAAGTTCCGGAATTGACGCGGCCACGCGGCTTTTTTTTTTTTTTTTTTCTTCAAGCTCGGATTGTACAGACAAGGTGGGTACTATTTTGCTTTTTTGGTGTCCTCATGTACATTGGTGTCCTCCATAATTTGCCTTGGTGCTTTCGATCATTTGCCTTGGTGCAATTTCCCATTCCTTGGTGCTCTTTGGTAAAAAAAAATTGAGGAGGTGCGGAAATAGAGGGCGCTGTTGGAGCTACCGCGGAACATTTTTGAAAAAAAAAAGATCGACGCGCATGATTAAAATCGACGCGCGCGCTGACCAGAAACCGACTTATTTTTTTTTTTGGCCTAACAGCCACGAATGCTCCAATTTTAATATGATTCTTCACACACCCTTAGTAAAATGTTAATTTTGTTTGCCAGTTTCATGCTTCATTTTTGCTTTGTATTTTTCTAACTATGTCCATAAAAAGGTTCATATCCCGGCTCACTGGCAATTCTTTTTAAATTTGATATCATCCAGATTATTACCACAACATTCCGAAACTTCATGAAAATTAAGACAAAGGTTACAGGGTTAAAACTCATCGCTTCGATCTGCGGGTGGAAATGCATAATGTCAACAATGATGATCTAGATAACAGAGTATAGAATCGGCTAGTGTGCCACCAGTTAATGTTATGAGTCAGAGTCAGCGTTGACGTAATGCCCGTAGGTAGCGACATGCAGCTACCCAAACATGTCTTTCGAACTTTACCCCTCTCTGATCCCATAATCTTAACCCATTTTTCGAGGGCCAGGGATAAATCTGGAGCTGTAATGAAAGTGAATAAAAGTGAATAATTATGGTCCGTCCACCCCAGTGGTCCACCCCTTGGATATACCTGTGCTTCTTGGGACGCATCCTTAACAAAAGACATCCTAGTATCCCTGGAGCACGTACAGCGGCAGGCAGCTCGCTTTGGTAATTCCACGGAAGAGGGCACCGTCAGTCGATTACTTGAGGAGTTAGACTAGGAGTTACTACAAACCAGAAGACCGTTTGGCAGAAATTATATATGCTATACAAAATGCAGAATGGAATAAATACTACATGTATAGATATTCCACTCAATCAATATGTTCATCCACAGTCAAGAATTTCAAGAGGTAGCAATCAGAAATTTCAGCAGCTTCGCCACAAAACTAGGGGCACAGGGACTCATTCTTCGTTTCCACCATTATCGATTGGAACAAATTACCAGCAAAAATGAATACACATGTAGTCAGACTACCATTGAAAATTTCAAATCGTTTCCAGGATCACTCATTTAAAAACAATGACTAAATTTTCAAGTTTAGTTCATCCACACATAGCTAAGGTTAGCGTGATGTATCCAGATATGATAGTTTGCTGACTAATGGATGAAAATGAAGTTGATGATAAGGTCGAAGATGACGAAGATGAATATGAAGACGAAGGTGAAGACGAAGATGAAGACGAATATGAGGAGAAGATGAAGAGAGGATGAAGATGAAGACAATGACCGAAGCTGAAGACGAAGATGAAGATGAAAATGAAGATGAAGATGAAGACGAAGACGAAGATGATACGGGGGCGTCCCTCGAGAGATGTTTGATTTTCCCCTCTTCTAAACTTATGGCCAGGCCAATTTTAGATGGTGGTGTGGTGGGAGCACATAAATATAGGCTACATACCACGCCCGAGGGCCTAGGCTCATCATATAAAGAAACAATAAATAAAATAAAAATAAAGTTTTACTTTTTTTACTCGGGACGGGGCCTATCTTGAACGGATTGAAATGGACCTTTTCTTAAATGTGAGTACTTTTTTTTAAATATTTTTTTAGCGTTTATTGAATTTAAATGTTCGCTTGTACCATGGAGCATATGCTCGTACCCACCGCACTGCCATCTCAGGGCAGTGGGTACGCTGTTCAGAGGGCGCGGCGGTGGTCACGGCGAGCAAAATTTAACGCCATGATACAATTTTCACCAAAAGAGGGCGGGCTTTATATATTTACCCAATATGGCGTTCTCCATGTGACCATGCTTTTTCGTAATCGTATGTTGACTTGTGCACTAGTACGGCCTAAAAACAGTTGAGGTTGGGACAAATAGTAAGTGGCTGTGTCATCTTGGAAAAGGGGGGAAGATTTCAGCATACAGTGGTATTTGACAACGAGATATAGATCATGAATCATGCTTGTTAATGTTCACTGATGTTGTTGAATCGTTTGTCGCTTTAACCATGTTAACGTAGTGTCCGGATATTGGGCACAAACATCTTGCGGCGGGCGGGTTCCCTAGGTAGGGCTTATCCCCATAAATGTGGCCAATTTACTGGACTACTTCCGTAAATAAAGGCCATACTTCACCTACTCCTAGCACTATGAGGCTCCGCGTGAGCGGAGCCTCATAGATCAAGAAGCCCGCAAAATTGCCTGCAGCACAAACACTAATAAAGTACAAAAACGTCCATCAAAATGCAGCCATTTCACACAGAACCGCTGCACAGTTTGCTTCTTGATCTATGAGGCTCCGCTCACGCGGAGCCTCATAGTTCTAGGAGTAACTTCCACCATGTACAAAAACATGTCGAACTTTGTCAAATTTTGATTTTCACATTTACTGATGATTTAGGCTTAGTTTGTTGGGGTTTTTTTTGTTTAATACTAGCATAACTAGCAAGCGCATACTCACCCTCTTTATCATGTTTATACTATAGCCTAATCAGAAAGTGCTGCCTTTTTCAGATGTCTATTTTCGTGAAATTTCCAGATTCGTTTGCACACGTTTGCGTATCAAAATTTCAACATGAAATTTCACGAAAATTAGACATCTAAAAAAGGTAGCACTTTCTGATTAGCCTATAAAAAGAGGGTGAGTATGCTTCTAAAGCAAAAATAAACTACAGCCTAAATGTGAAAATCAAAATTTGACAAAGTTTGACATGTTTTTGTACATGGTGGAAGTGTGGCCTTTATTTACGGAAATAGTCCAGTAAATTGGCCATATTTATGGGGCAACCTAGGGCTAGGCTTCTAGTTCTACCGAGATTTTGATTGGGGGTACGAGTGAAAATGGTAAAAAAAGTTATTAGCAGGCCTAATGCAATAAGGCTATGTACCTAGGAGGCTAGGACTCTACCATCGCCCGACCATGTACAAATGTTAAAAAAGGCGATTCATAGAGTCCTAGTTACTCGGACTACTGATGACTGATCTATAAAATAACGCAGTGGCTATTGTTACGGCAGCCGTTAGCATTTCCCATTTTCTATCGTTATGGTAGACTGCAACTTTTATATAAACATGAGAAGAAAATATAAAATTAGAAGGAAAAAAGTGAATTTGATCGTTATGAAATTCGGACTTTATTTCCCTTTTTAAAAAAATTCTCCAAAGCCTCAGGTTAGAAAAGGAAAAAATTCGAGTGCAAAACTGAGATGCGAACCCGCAACCTCGCGGTGCAAAATCCTACCCTCTATCGACTGAGCTGTCGCACTGTTAGCTAAGTTCACCTTTTTTCTCATTTATGGCTCTGGAGAATTCTTTTAGAAAGGGTTGTTAAGTTCAAGAACCATTCCGTTCCCAACTGACGCATGCGCATTATGGTCATTGACTATACATGGTTGCAGAAAAAGTAATTGCAGGCAGGGCACTTTTAGTTTTAGTGAATTCCAGAAATTGCGATGTGAAAATATAAGACTTTGAATGATGTTAAAAAATTATGATAAACCATTGTTTATATATTTAATCAGTTGTGAGGAAGTTGATTTCATAAATCATAACACTACCTTACGAATACAATATTGATAAACTGCTTTCTGTTTACTTACAGATACTGTTCTTAAGATATTTCCTGCTAGTGCAATAGAAGGCAACCATGCGCAATCTTGAGCTGCTTCTTTCCTCGCACATCGACGGTCTGTCTGAGTTAGAGGGATGTCATGAGCTGAGTGTTGACTATGACACTGGACGAGTTTACTTGACCACCAGAGACTCCAAGGTCATATGTCTCGATCCACAAGCGCAAGAGGTAAATTATAAAGCCTTGTGAAATAGGATTTTTGCTTGTATAATATTCAAACTATTTTGCTAACCATAAGGTTTTTTGGGGGCGAGTAGTGGGATGTCAAGTAAGATATGCTAGGATGTCCAGGACTTAAGCAGGAGGTCATGTGTTTCAGTACCACCCCAGAAAACATGTCAGCCAGATTGACCAATCAACAGCTTAGTCCACATTTCTGATCGAAACGACCTCACAATTTCTAAAGTCGACTCCGATTGACTGGAATGTATTATGTGGGGTCGCATAAAATTTGCATTGCTCAGATATATCAGACGTTGGTTAGGCCACAAAAAAAAAGTCTCCGGTTTCTGGTATGGAGCTTGCCCCAAAAGTGGTGCGGCGACGCGGCTTCTTTTTTTTTTTACCTGTTTTTTTTTTTTTTTTTGGCTTCAAATGTCGGCTGATGACTGCAAATGGTGCCCGACTAAACTTAGTGCAAATATATGGGAGTCCAGAGAGGCCACATAAAGCTTATTCTCGATCATAACCCAATCTAAAAACATGTTAAAATTGTGCAGCTGCAGGATTCCAGTCAAACCAGTGAGTTTGGCGGTTTTGAGACATCATCTTGTATTGAAAAAAACCTTTTTCATTTTGCCGACGCGCATGGCTACGGCGACGCGCGCGCATACCAGAAACCGGAGACTTTTTTTTTTTGGCCTTACAGAGAGGGTTTCATTGGACAACGAGTCGTTTGTTCAGACTATGTCTTGTGCTAGCCTGAAAACAGAGTGCTTAAGAAAATCAGTCAATTAAGGTTACCAAAAAAGCCCAAGACAAAAGAAACAGTCAAACCTAATAAGTGATGTGTTGTAGTCAAGTACTTTTTTCCAAGTACCGAGTACTGCTGACTGCTTAGGTTGCCAAGTACGAGTACAAGTACTTGTACCTCCGAGTACAAGAATGGGTCTCTGAGTACGAGTACTTGTACTCCGAGTACGATTACCGTACTTCCGAGTACGAGTACGAGTACGAGTACTCGCATTTCCGAATACGGCCATACGGCAAATGGTTTATTGTGCTCAGGTAGTCAGACCGATATACAGACCCACTTATGGCTAGCTGTTAAATGTGTTTTTCCGGACGTGCACAGAGGAAAATCAGGAAATCTTGAATTCTCCACAAGCCAATCAAACATTTCAAACTGAAAGTATCGATAAAATAAGGCCATGATAATTGAAGCTATATACCATCCCTCCCCCCCCCCCCCCCGAGTACTGCTATTCGAGTACCAGTACTTTAATGATCGAGTACAATTTCGACATGTCGAGTACGAGTACTTTGCTGCCCAAGTACGAGTACCGTCATTTCGAGTACGAGCACTTTGACGTTCAAGTACGAGTACGTGTACTCAAAAAAAGTACTCGAGTAGTACTCGAGTACGAGTACCGAGTACGGGTACTACAACACTGCTATAAAGTGTTCATACCAATGTCTCAAAGTGCTTCTCACTTACTACCTCTGATTATCAGGCCATGAGAATAGTTTTCTGCAGCAGCTCAAGAACAAAGCAAAAGAAATGTAGCCTTGACTGCACTTCTTACTATTGATTATATGAAATTTTCTTTAAAATCATCAATCCAAACTATTTTTTTTTGGAGTAAGAGTTGAGATCCATGAAACAAATTACCAAAACAGGACAGGAATGTTACTCGTGTTTGTTTTTTGAAAGGAGATGCATTTTTTCCCCTCCGTTTCTCGGTAGATTCTGTGGACTCTCTCTCTGGTGGAGCAAGGCTATGCCACACCAAGCGAGGGCAGTGTTATCATCGCCATACAACATCTACCAGACCAGCAGTCAGTCTGCGTGGCTACAGGCAGAGGCGACGTCCTCCTGTACAACACTCTCTCGTGTGAGGTACGACTCAAGATTCTGTGAGGTTTTTTGAAAACCTCAGCTTCACCTCTGTCTCAGCTCCAGGAATTCTTGGGCCCCTGACTTTGGGTAATACGGCTCAATAGGGGTCCAGGTTATGCTTTGAAAACATTAATTCTGACTATATGAGTATTTCTGTTTGAGATGGACATTTCAGTATTCCGAAGCCAAGGACAAAGCCATTCAATATGTTACTGGTGTTAAATACTTTTGAATGCATGATTGCCAAGATTTGAAGTAAGAGCAAATTCTCGGTCTGAGCAGGAGTAGACTAAGTCATCATCACTTGATTCATTTTCATCGGACATTTCAAGATTGCGGAGAAACACCTACACAACATATCCCTACACTACAGATATATGTGACCTGTTCTGTCAAAAGCAGACGCTTCTGGGCAGAGGTTGAAATTGAGATAGGGCCAAAAAACGCTGTGGGGGTGATTTTATTCAAATTTTTTTTTCAAATTTTTCCACATTTGCAATCCTGAACATGTCTAAAATATATTATAAAAGTTTGAAACCCTAATTTGAACTCTACATAGACTATTTTTGATGATTTTGATAAGGTATATCAGTTAAAGAAATAACTGTTTGGTGACATTCGTGCTCATTTTCTCAGTTTTCTACTTTTCGACACAATGAACTTCAAAATAGCATAACTCTGCCCAGGAATGACCGGAAAAAGAACATATGTTAACAATATGTAAAAAATATCATTTTCGACCTTATGCCCAGAAAAGTCTGATTTTGACAGAACAGGTCACATATAAGAGTGATGTGGTCAAACGTAGCCAGTGTGTTTATATTGTATTTTTCAGCTGGAATGCGTTGGCAGTGTGGAGAGTGGCCTGACAAGTATGACATGGAGCCCTGACCAGCAACTCCTCGTTCTCTCCACAGGTTTGGAGTTTTATTTTATGCATGCCTTAGGAATTTTGTATTCACTTTAAGGCTTAAGATTTTTGCACACTATCATTATGCCGAAGAGAAAATATTATGATAAATACATTTGAAATGTAATGTTAAGTGTGGCCAAACACCAAGTTAATGTTTGCGTACATTGTGCTGTGCAGTACCTATGGGTGGCTTGTGCGTAAAACGCCTCTCACCGAGGTGACCACAGTTCGAATCCTGGCCGCGGATCACATGTGAGTAGAGTTGTGCGTTGGTTCTCTCCTGTGCCACAAGGGTTTTTCTCCGAGCCCTCCGGTTTTCCTCCCTCCGAGAAAAATCAAACACTTTCGAACTCAGACTGTGCTCCGTGGTCATGTATAGGTCGATGTGGCTGGCAGCCAGGGCGCCTTTACGTGCCAGCGGCCCGACCACGTTGTAGCCGCGTCCTTCCCAATTCAGCATACCAGCTGCGAGTAAGGATGATTATATCATTATCATTACCTTCTACTTGATGAGATTCAAATCTGCCAGCTAACATGACCCTAACCATGTTCAATTGAACAAGATTTTGCATGATTCAAATGAACCCTTGGGGTTAGGCATAATTGTTGAGTGTTGAGACAATTTGTACTACACGTAGTAAGTAAGATGACACGTGTTCGAGTTCCAAACAAGTTTTTCTGAAATCCTTGTTCCAGGTTTAAAAATGTACCATTTTGATACGGGGGGATTCTTTGTACGATTTGTTTCATGGCATTTCTCTGTTTCCTTTCATCATATGTTGTCACATTACAGGGGCATCCACCCTGATCTTGATGACCAAGGATTTTGACCCAATCATTGAGACTGCTATGCATCCTCAGGAATTTGGAGAGCGTAAGTGCAGTGCTGTCAAGTAAAATGTTTGTTTGTTCTTAGTTCAAACTGCTCTATCACAAGATTGGAATGAAGACCTATCTGGCACGTTCTAGACGCCGTGCTACTGCCACGCCACTGCCGCACCAAACTTAATTCAAATGAATGCGGCAAAAGCTCGTCAACAGCACGGCAGTTGCTCTAAATGCCAAACTGAATGGTCGACCTTTGTGAGTCTGGAGTAACTGTCCAGGTTGAAGCAGTTCAATAAACTTTCAGCGCAATCAACATATTCGCGCCAATTTCACTCCCTGGATGCGGACGCGAGAGAGGGTATTGTGAGCATGCGCATTCCTCAAATGTTTGCCCCCCAACTTCGAATTGAATTGAGTTCGGCACGGCAATGGTACGGCGTTTAGATGTCGTGCCACTGCTGTTTGGAACGACAATAGCGCGGCAGACCTGTAGCCTTAAAGGGCGTTGCGGTGCAGAATTCAATTTGCCGTCACTCGCCCCTGCAAACGTACATTGCCAGATCATGTTTACGCGCCCTCTGGCATTAACTGGTTAACCTAACCTCTCAGGAAATCTTTTTAGAATTGAAAGATGAAAGGCTATTAGGGTTAAGGGGTACTTTGTGAATTGAGTCCATATCACTATAACTCCCAAGGTGGCCTTGTTTTGTTTTCAACAGAGCAACCCATCACCGTTGGATGGGGCAAGAAGGAGACTCAGTTCCACGGCACAGCGGGCAAGCAGGCAGCCGTCAGGACCATGGAAGACGTGAAGCCTGCCCTCGCTTGGGATGACATGAAAGTCCGAGTCAGTTGGCGTGGCGACGGCCAGTTCTTTACCGTCAGCGCCATCAGCCCGGATACAGGTACAGTTTCAGAACATATTTCCCCCAAAAATACCTCTTTTTAGGACAGATTGCATTGTTTCTGAAAGAGCTTTCTTTTTCCGTGTGTTACATTTAACATAAATGATTTGAAGTTTCCAAAAAATGCAAATGTAGTTTAAAATTTGACGCATTTACACCCGTTAGTTTTTACATTGGACTCCCATCACAATCCCGCAGACGTGTATCTACTCTTTGATCGTGGAGTTATTGCCTAAATTAGATAGAATCAAAACAGTGTTGCTATGATTTTTGAACAGATATATGTGACCTACTGAGGCAAAATGAGGAATGTCCCCAAAATCTTGTTCCGAAGTCGGATATACAAGAAAAATCATGTCAAAATCAATAGAGATTGTTTTTTATTTTTGAGTAGCCAAGGTATCCAAATTCACACCATGCATTTTTGTCGTGAAAAAAATACCAACAAAAGTGGAAAAACCGAAGAAGGTTTTTCACTGCTCTTGGCGGTGCAATGCGTGTTTTTTTTTTTTTCAAAGCTGTTTTTCTTGAAATGAAGTTAACAAAACTTGGCAGGACACTGTTGAAGTTCCTGCGTCATATCTTTGAAATAAAAAAAGCTACAGAAATAGATTTGGTATCATTGGAAACCCAATGATTTGCGCTTTGACATGATGTTCATAATGTGAAAAGCCAAAGGTGGGGGTTATTCCTCATTATGCTATGGCAGGTCACATATGACATGCCTTTTCCAGTAATGGTTCCATGGCCTCGGTGTGTACAAAGATTTATGGTAGAAAATCGGAAATGCGGGGTTGTGACACGTTAGTTATAGGGCTGTCCGTATTCGAATAATTTAGTATTCAATCACTCGAAACTGCAATGGACCGAGTATTCGGATATTCGAAATTATATAACCAACATACAGATCCTTGTCATTTGATTGGTGGAACTCGCATCACGTGACATTTGTTATTACTGCCATTCACGCCGGGGCTCAAAAAGTACTATCCGCCCATGGGGAATGGGAAATACTATTAGTAGTAAGGGAGGCGGGGGTGCTGGACTTTGTCATAGGTCTGTGGGTAGTACAGGGCCATTAATGAGAAGTCAGGGTACCAGACTTTGTCATAGGTCTGTGGGTAGTACAGGGCCAATGGGAAATCCCCCGATCTCAAGAAAAAAAAAAATAAAAAAAATAAATCTAACGGAGAGAGAGTGAGAGAGAAAAAAAATTAGCTCCTTACCCTGTAAAAGGTGAGGAGCTGTTTTTTAATAAAAAATGGAGAGTAATATGTTTAGACCGACGAGTATTTGAAAAATGAATAAAAAATAATATCGGTTTTTATTAAATAGATGGAATACTTTGGGACGTCACAACTTGGGGATAAGTGCGATCATCATATAATCATCGAGAATGGTTTTTTAATTTGTGAAACGTGCGGCGAAATAGTTTCACGTTATTTTGATTTTTCGGCAGAAAATGCGCAAGAAGATCGTATCAATTGGTCAACTTTAAAGAGAAACAAAAGAAAAACTGTGGAGAAACTTATTTTGTCTGTGTGTCCAGAGCAAGACGTAGAAGATGTCCAAGAAACAATCAATAAATATAACGAGCTCGTTAATTACAAAACATTGAGGGGAAATGGTTGCGTTAAACGGTCATTAATAGCGGCGTGTTATCATCACGTCGTTGGATTAGACAAAGAACGAGTTAGAGATTTATTTAAAGTGACTCAAAATCAATTGAATAAGGCACTAAAAAGATACGATGACCACTACAATAAAGGCGGGGCTGAGGGTAACACCCTAAGAGGTGAAATAGAGGTATAAGTCGGCGGATCGCTTTCATAATGTTTATTTACCGAGAATTTGAACTTGTAAGTTTTTCGATAAGAGATTTTTTTTCTTTTGCCAGCCGTTCATCTACCCGTTTTTTAACTTCTTTTTCAAAGTCTGTATCGTTTTTAATCTTTTGAAGCTTTGTGCTGGTCTTTGTTCTAATTTTTTGCTTAAGCTCGTTAAATTTGGCGAGCTCTCTCGTAATCAGTAAGAACTCTTCGTGCGATATATCTCCGTCGTTGATGGCTTGAGACACGTATTCTTCAATCGTGTTAAGTTTGGAGTCTGCTAATATTTTAATCTGGTCGTGCTTTTTTAGCTTGGCGGATAATCGCCTAGACGCGATTCTAAGCAAAATATCTACACCAAAAGCGCCTATAAACGTTCCTTCTAGCACCAATCCAACGGGGGCTGATATAACACCCAAGAGAGCGGGAATACCGACAGCCCCCGCTATAGCCCCCAATCCTTCTAATCCTATCTCTACGTAATTAATAGTGTCGATCACTCTCTTTATTTTTTTATAAGTGTGCTCTCGGTGGTCTCTCTCTTTTAAGATTAAAGATCGAATCTCTTCGATCTTTTTAAGTCTGTATACTTTTGTTTCTTCGTTACTATTTAATCGGAGTACATCTCCAGAAATATCGGGGTATAACGCCTTACCATCTACACTCATGTTTTTAATATAAAAAGATTTTAAAATTAAACGATCTCCAACTCTATCATGATACTCACACCCTTGTGGTTGATGATCTGTCCTTTTTCACCAATGATTGAAAATGTCAGTTTGTCGATTATACCGGTTTTAAGTTTCTTGAAATCTTCGACTCTATCAGGCTCGGGTTTGCGCGTACCCACGGGTACGATTTTTAAGATGTCAGACGGACGACCATCAAAACAGTTTTCACTCGTACTTAATTGCGGGCAGTGAATAAACAAAAATTTAAACGGATTAATATCGTAAGACCCCGTATATACCACTTTGGGTATCAGTCTTCCCTTGGGTAAATTGAGTAATCGAGAGACTTCTCTGTTTAAACGCAATTTGAGATTGACGTCGGTTACCACCAACGTCACCTTTTTAGATTCTCTAAATATTCGAAAACTTACCCCGGGTATATAATTTAAAATGAAATCGAACCAATCGACATCGTACCACCCCGGTGGTATGGTGACCGAACCGGTGACTCCAGCTGGTAACGGCGCTAAAAGACTCGGAGAAATAAAATCTAAATTATCACCAGACACGACAAGACTCCCACGTATTGTTATCCCAGCATGTCTAATTACTCTCGCTCTAGGTTCGCTTATTATACCTTGGATATATTCTAGCGCTATCTTTTTACCTTCATTGATGAAGTCTCTTCTTTCAAATAAAGTTGTTATTAAAAGTATAATCGTATTGCGTTGTACGTCGGTTAGTGTTCTTTCTTGACTTTTAACGTGTAATTTTATTTGTCTTTCAGATATTTGTTTTTTTTCTTTTTCGATCGATTCTAAAGCAGAGTCTAGTCTATCTTCTTCATACGCTTCTATAAGATCGTTTATAACTCTATTGAAAGTATTTTCGTCTCTAATTAAAAAGTCGTAGGGGTACTCGGGTACCAATTGCGCAATAAAATCTCTATCTGTTCTTACTTCTAGATCTGGGTTAACCCGTTCGTAACTTCTACTAGTATCATCAGGTCTTTCAGCGGGTCTCCCATCTATTTGCGTATACCAATCAATCTCTGTGGCGCTGGAAATATTAAAATATCCGGGGTTAAACATTACTCTTTTTACGCGTACAGATTTTTGACCGTTTAAATTATCTACAACGTCTTCTAATTTAAACGTCTGCTCATTTTGAAACAAGTGAAACGAATGCATTTATTTTAAAGTCTTTTTATATTAAAACTGAAACTAAAATAATGAGTGATTTTGAGTCGTTAAAAAAGCAGATACAATCGATAGCTGATCAGGTAACGCAACAAGTAAATCAAAATGTAGCCAAGGCAACCGAGCTAAAGCATCAAGCTGCACACCAAGCAAAGTTTTTAAACAGCACTAAACCCAGTGAACTGGAAGTTATAGTTAATAATACCAACGGGTTTTTAACCTTGTTCCCCGACTTAACCTCAGACTATAAATTGTCTCGCATCACAACGGATGAGGATGTAGATCGTTGGAAATCACACCCCATGTCGTTTTATCAAAATCAGTTAAATTTTGCGATCTATTGCGCTACTACGGGCTGCGGTGTTGGATTTGATCTTTTAAACGCGAGCAACCGTTATGTTTGGGCCATCTTTAACTTTCATTTATATTTTACGGTTAGAAAGATCCTGTATGACTTTGCCGCTCCTTTACCGGGAGATGACGCATTTAAAGCTCTAGACAACAGTTATAATCTCAGAGCATTTATCGATACCTGTTTGTTGTTTGGCATAGATCAAAACAAGTCTTTTAAACAGACGAGAGACACAAACTCTAACGGTTTAGGTATAGCTTATTATTGGGACACGTCTTACGTACCCGTACCCGGAAACGATTATGATACAACCGACCTTAATCTCGAGTATAGTGAGTATCATAAAGATATGATGAGTGGAACTAAAATGGGGTTTGGTCTGGACGATCCACCCAAGGGTTCGGGGCGTTACAGCGATTACACCGTAGCATTTATCGAACAAAATGAATCGGTACAAAAGGCTTGGTTAGATTTTATACCCAACAAGAGTTCATTTACCCCCGCGGGAATCATAAGGATCAATGAATCGATCAGATCTTATGTATACGCTTTACTCGGTGCGCAGGCTCAAACAAGAACGAGTGTCTTAACACCAGGCACCGGATTAGACGCTCAGAGACAATTTAACGTCATCGTTGAAGATATCATCAATGCAGTAGACGATATGGAAACGAGTATCAATCAATTTCAAGACTCGCTGCAGTATGCCAGAACACCTTTAAATTTTGTCGTAAAACCGGGGTTATATTTAATTCCATCGGATATGAACTTAAGGATTGGAACGCATGAAGGTTATAACAACAATCTTCAAATTGCTACCCAGAGTATGAAAACTGGTTTGGTGCCAGATTTAAACTCACAACCTCAACCGGATGACTCTTTTGATGACACCGATGACGTCGCGCCACCAACACCCCTAGAGCCTATGACTGATGTTGTATCACCAGCA